TTCTTCGCACTAGTGCCCTCCAATTCTCACATTAACCGTCACTGTCACCATGTTCATATTTCACACAATGAAACACACAGAGAGCGCGTCTCACACGCAAAAACACACAGAAACCTCTGAGCTCACCTTTGAAATGCAAGCGCACCACAAGCCAGACTCTATTTCACCTCTATTTCATATGCTGAACTTTGGCCGCGTCTTAGAAATTCTCCCCGTTTCTTGCAACAGAAGCCAGTCATACACAACGTTAAATGTGGAGGGTAACGTGGGCTGCAACTCTAGTCTCAACATAGAATGTTTTTAGTATCTTGCTAGAGCCAGTTCCTATGACACTGGAATTCAGCCTCAACTCATGATGTTAGTATCTCGTGCCGAAAACCAGACACCGACAAATTTAATGTGAAAATGCGTGTAACTCAGCGAACAGATTAATTTGGAAAGCCCAATATGCACATTTGGTATTTATAATACAACAGGCTGTGCTTAGCTTTTTATATTTGGACCGGTCCTCTGCTCGCCTGGCCTCACGATCTCACCACAGGCCAAATCTGCCTTCCTCAGCACATCAAAGATCCGGGTCACACAGCACCAAATTGTTAAATCCTCCCAATTCTTTCGATCTTTGGGCTGAAGGAAGGACACTACTCGGTGTATAAATGCTCAATCAACAATCCTTTATTCCATACAATTCAACACTTTATGAATATAAACCATCCGGATGGGGAGACGTGCATGCAGAGGGACACAGCAAACATCAAACTGGTGGAGGGTTACTCAAGCTCTTCTAGCCTCTAGTGGCCCCCACCTAGTCGTAAAAGCCTAAACGTTCTTAGCGAGCCTGACTTATGGCCTTGGCTCCCTATTTTGTCTGCCTTCAACAACGGTGGGGGTGATGTGCTCTCTGTCTCCTCTACTATCAGAAAAAGCAAAGTCCTGACTCTCCAAAAACAGTATTTCTTATAACTCAGCAGTATAATGCATCATAAACAAGATCTATCTTACAATATAAAGCGCCTTAAGGTGACTGTTGCTGTGATTTGGCGCTGTATAAATAAAGATTTTTTTAGTTGCCACTTTATGTGTGTGCTTACCAACTGTGTGTTATTGCTTGTATTGTAAGCAATACAAGGTCACTGTGAGAAAGTGTGCATCCAGATGACCGGTGCTAACATCTACACCACGTTTTCCACAGCAGAGGGTAATCATGTGATTTGATCACGTGATTTACAGCAGGACACACCACTACAGCTACACAACTTACAGCTGCATTGGAACGGAAGAGAGATCAGCGATGGAATTACGACTCTTTAAACACCACAGACACAAGGAGCCCGGACCCTGATTAAAACTGACTGACAAATTACTTGTGCACATTTTTATGACAGGGAAACAGTTTCTTTAGTGTGCAGCGGATCCTCATTCTTCTCAGTGAAAGCAAAGATGATTGGACATGAACAAAAGGGGGTGAGAGAATACCAAATACCAACATTAAACAAATACTAGGACAGCTTTCTTACATTTGTGTAATCTCTCTAAAATTAGAAACATCCTGCCTCAGAGTGATACTGAAAAGCTTGTTTATGCATTTATTACTTAATGCTTCAATTACTTCTCTTGTAATTTATATTACTCAGGCTGTCTTAAAAACTGTTTGATGATCCATTAAAAGAATAAATCACATGTTCTAACTGTTTCCATCTTCCCTGCTCCATTATATGTACATCATGTCCTGTCACCTGTCAATCTGTTGGACACTTCCTGTGAATTAAGACGACTCTACTTAACCTTTTAACTGATTATCATAGAATGTAATCAGATATTTCCTCAGCTAAAATGGTTGTGTTGTTCACTTTAAAGAAATGGAAATGCTAATTCCAATCTATGGAAAAAAAACCATCCATCCATTAGTCCATCAACACACCATCTGTTAAATGTCATAATAAATCTTTTGGAGCCTTTGTTTAACTGCACGTCAGCTGTTCTGTTAGCCACTGCAGCCAGCTTCAGTTTTTTCACAGTTTTCAGCTTTCAGGTTGGCTTCTGTGTTTTTAAGAGGAGTCTTACAGTTGGGCTGGATTAGCTGACCTTGAATCCTCCCTTAGTTGGCCGAAGCTGCTCGAGGCTTCCCATGATGCTCTGAGTATTTGGTCTTTACTAAACGTTTCACGCTGTCTGTTCGACCATGCTTTCCATGTGTTCCAAAATCACATTTTTGGGGACGAGTTTGTTGCATTCAGTTTGTTTTGATTCCTTAACAAACATTCAGTAGCACAGCAGTAGTTGTAAACAATGCTTTCCATGTTTAATAAGACACTACCTCGCTGGTTTATTCTAGGTGTGTAGCATCAGGCGCAGCTTTAGTTCCCAGCCATCGTATAACCTACTTCAGGGATGTCAAACTCAGCTTACATCGTGGGCCACTTACAGCCCGCTGTGATCTTAAGTAGGCCAAACCAGTGAAACTGCCCTTTCTGTCAGTGTAAAGATGTTTCAAGACACATTTAATTGCAATTAATATGAGAAAAACAAGTGCAGTTTTAACAGTATGTCTCAGTTTTGTATGACTGTAAGTGATTATTCTGTGAATGCAGCAGAACAAATAAATAAATGTGTAAAATTACTGCAAAGATTCTCTTAGCTTAGTGCCCGGACACTTGTAATTAAAAAACAGAGTTCTTCAGTAATTCAACAGTTTCATTTATTTATGCTTTTTTTTTTAAGTCTAAAGTAAAAAGTATCTAATCTAATTCATTACTTGGTGTAATGTGAATGGGAGAGGACTCTATCTGTAGGAAAATCTGATAAAACTTTAAAATACAGTTTTAAAGTCCAAAATTTGTGCCCTCCTTCATATATTCCAAAGTCATCAAGTGGGCCATATTAGAGCCTTTGACAGGCTGATTCTGGGCCCCGGGCCTTAAGTTTGCCATCCAGACCTACGTGCTTGAAGTACACCAACACCATCTCAAAGCTGGACGTAGATACAGTGACATCATCAGCTCAAGTCACCATCACTACTTTCAAGTAACCGGATGAACGTGAATACAGCGTTAACGTCGGAGTGCTGCGGTTTAAATGCTATACATCAGGGGTGGGGAACTTTTCTCTGGCCTGTGATGAGACAGCAGACGTCACAAACACAACACAGCTAGCAACTTTTGTGCGTGGGATTACGGGCGACTTTGAAATGAAGGAGGAGCTTTGTAAGCCGTGCACGGCACTACTAAAGGTGAGGCTTTGTTTGAACAACTGTGACAGAGGAAATAGCTTCTGACCCTCCAGGTAACTGCACACAGATAAACTGAGACATATGAGAAGCATACAGTGGGTCTGTGTGATGGTTCATTGGGTAGAAACAGGCTCTAAACCAGGGCTGTTTTATACAATTACATTTGGCCCCCGAGATCATTTCATATGTCAATTATTAATGTGGCAGCCGAATCCTCAGCCCTGCTGAGAATCTATGGCGTTGGAGTTTATTTTGATGGGCACAAAACAAAACAAATAAGCTGCCAGCAAAACTTGCACCTATGAGCATGGACTCAGATCCACTTCAGCTTATCTGTGCTCAAAGCCGTGTTTGATGTTCGTGGAAGCTCGTATTCCACGAAACCAAGTAGTATTTCCAAACTGAAGATCAAGTTTAATACAACAGAGGATATCAGAGACGGGCCACGAAATGGACATCCCAAGAAGACCAATTTCTTCACCCTGTCAGCACTTTAAGTCAATTTTATTTATATCTCAGTTACATCAACAGTTCTGTACGAGAAGGATTTTTACATTTGATTCTGGATTTAACAGAATATGGGAGAAATCTGCTCTCTCGTTCTAGTCCCTGTCAGTACTCTCACGTTTTTGTATCAACTGACTATCAGGGAGTTTTTCAGTCCAATGTTAGATCATTATAATAGTCCAGCCCAGAAGTATTAAATGCAAAAACCAGTTTTTCAGCATCAGTCTGAGACAGGAAGTTTTTCAGTTTTAATTAGAGATATTACACAAATCCAAGAAAGCAGTCCTACATAACTGTTTAACATGCACATTCAAGAAGCTCAAAAATGACTAAAAAGGTTCCTCACAGTGTTACTGGAAGCCAAAGTAATGCCATCCACATTAAGTATGTGGTTGGATACCATGTTTCTAAGGTTTTTAAGGCTAAGTACAATAACCTCAGTGTTATCTGAATTTAGAAGCAGGAAATTCAATGTCATCCACATGTTTATCTTTAAGACATCCCTGCAGCCTAACTAATATGGTGTGTGTCATCTGGCTTTAATAGCTAAAGCTGGGTAGCTGCATAGCAATGAATATGCTGTGCCTTCCAGTGATACTGCCTAAGGAAAGCATGCGTAATGGTCAGAATTGGTACTAGCACAGAACTGAAGACCACTCCCCATTTACATGACCAAATTGGAGTAAATCTGTTTGCACCTACAGCATGCTCAACAGTGTTAAATATTGCACTGAGGTCTAGGAGGACAAGCAGAGATGAGCCCACTGTCAAAGGCCATACGATCATTTGTCACCTTCACTAAAGCCCACTAAACATCCATAATTAGCAAAGACAGCTGGGATCTACTTTCACGATGAGCCTCTTGAGGTTGTGGTGATCAAGTTTATCTTTCTGAAATACATAATAGAGCGTCACAATATTTTCGTATTTTGAGATGCACTGCTGCAGGATTAGCACACGAGTGCCCAGAGGAAACGCATCCCAAGTACTGAGCTGACCACGAGGTTCAAAACCATCAGTGTGCCCATTGCACCGCGTCAGGTGTCAATGCAGCTGCATAGCAATGAAATGCTGTGCCTTCTAATGATGCTGCTTAAGGACAGCCCCAGCACATTATCAGCCGAGTAATTCTATTGGACTTTTTTAAGCCCTTTAAAAGACACATGTAAAGTTGGCAGCTTGGAGTTTGGTGGTGGGAGCATCGTCTTCATCCAAGAGGACCTTCACATTCTCACAGATGTGGAAACCAGAAGCTTTTCCCAGGTTTGAGCAAAATGTAAGCTTTTTATTTGAGACACTGGGCAGTACAGGATATTTTATACAGACAGGAGCATTCTTAGAACTTTAACTGCAGTAAATCATGACGTGATTCATGTAGAAAACAAATGTGTAACATTTTCTCAGTCTTGGTCTTAAACACTACAGCTATCCTCCTATGTATTTTTTTAAATAGTGCACTGACTGTTTTGGTGTGATTTCCATCTACCATCTCTTCACCAGAGACCCTACTGAACAATGTGAACAATGACAACGAGTGAGGCATCTTTTACACACCCGAAAGCACATTACAAGCAACATCATTCATTTAAACATGTTCCCTGTTAGCTTCCTGCTGTGCTCATGAGCACCACATGCTGTGTAACACCAGTCCACGTGGCTGCTGTGTCTTTGCTCTGTAGTGGACCAGGGAATGAATTCTGTACACGGTTCTGAAGAGCCCATGAGATAACGCGGCTGGTTTATGGCTAAACAAGCAGGAAGCGGCTAAGCCTCAGTTCTCCTCTTGATCTCACTGATAAGATCTGCTCTGGATATATCGACCTGTGCACAAACAGCAGGGGGGGGGCAGCGTGTGAGCATTTCTTTATGTGTGTGATTACAATGACTTGGTGTGCGTGCATCATACCTCCTCTCTGGTTGCCACTACACGCAGCTTCACCACTCCATCCTTCAGCTCCTGTTCTCCCAGTATAGCCACGAGGGGGATTCCTGCTTCCTCACAGTACTGCAGCTGACTCAGCAGTTTGGGGTTCTTTTTGTACATCACCTCAGCCTGCACGCACGCACACGCACGCACGCACACACACACACGCACGCACACACGATTTAGATTTTTTCCTGTTTGTCACACTTAAATGCTTCAGATCATCAAACGAATTTAAATATTAGACAAAGATGACATAAGTAAACACAAAATGCAGTTTGTAATATTTTTGTCTAACATTAAATTTGTTTGATGATCTGAAACATTCACGTGTGACAAACGTACAGTAAATCAGGTAGGGGGCTAACACTTTTTCACACCACCGTACACTGACATGTGCTGTAATGCTAATGACTGGGCTGTCTTACCTGTCTGAAAGCTGCCCTTAAAATTGTTGATTTATGTGTTGTGTTTATTTATTCATTGTCAGTCTTAAAAAGCTTCCACCAGTTGTTAATAATTTCTTGATTGCATAGTTAAAAAAATATTAGTCTGTGGGGATGGAGAGCAGCTGGCCTGCTCATTAAGACAGGCTTGAACATAATGACTCCATCATAATTATGACTGCAGTATCTGGTCTTTAAGTGATGACATATCAACCCTGCTTCAGTCTTTGTTAAGGCTGTGGTGTTTTTAACATGTTTTCATGTTTTGTATCTTTCAGTGGTTCCCAAACTTTTTTTGCTGGGCCCCCTTTGTTTTACAAGAAAAATGATCACGCCCCCCTCCCCGCGTGCACACACGCACACATCCTCCAAACACACACGCCCATATTTTGCTCCATTGCAGTTTATTTCACACCTCAAACATTCAGTAAACAATTAAGCAAATACAAGTAACCTGCAGGTAGTAAGAAAATAAACTACTAACTCTGTTACGCTGCGTCCGTACCTACACAGGTATTTTTGAAAGCGCAGCTGTTTCGTCCACATAAACGCCGTTTCGAGTCACCGAAAACTGAGATTTTTTAAAACCCCTTTTTTGCGTTTACGTGTGGACGAGGAATACAGAGTTGGTCACGCAGCGTCAAACGTATGCGTTTTGTTCCACGTCACGCTGTGGCCACGTTATTGTTTACATGAGATGAACTGCAGAATGATAGAGACGAAATACTGTTAATCTGACTGTCTGCAGGTTTTACAGGCAGTTACTGTCCCTCCATTTACAAAGGCAGAGGCGTCAGCGTGTGATTATTTTACGTGTAGTTGTTTTTTCCTGTGTAATAATGTTCAACATCAATGCATTTTTCAAAAAATGCTTTTCTGTGCAAAATGGGTTCAAAAACATAAACAGCTGTGGGATCCTGTTTGTTTGAACCGAGGGAACAAACTGTGGCAGGATCAGCCTGATGTTATTTGTATCCTGCTGTAACTTTACTGTATAAAGAGCAAACATCTCCAACATGTCAGGAGCAGTTAGTCATTACAACAAGTGTTTGTGAACTAAAGATCAAGAATGTGGGATGCTGTTTGTCCGTGATTTGAAGAGCCCAGCGCTGCTCCCGACGCAGGGAAAACCAACCCTGGTGAAGCCAAAGGGAAGAGTTGCTTCACCATATTTTCTAGTCTTTGGTTTGGAAACATATTCAGCGATGCTTCATCTCCTGCTTTGCGTTTCTGTAGGCGCCCCATCAAAAACCTGTCCATGATGCTGTTCTTTTTTTCTTTTCATACTGCACCCCCCCTGCAATGGCTCTGCGCCCCCCCCTGCGCCACAAACACTTTGGGAACCTGTGGTTTATGTTACGCTAACATAGCTGTGTTGCTAGCGGTCACGTAGCACATCATTATATAGCAGCTAGCCAAACTTCAGTAACCCTACAAACGTCACTGCTGTTTAGTTTTCTGTCTTCATTTATGCTGGAAGTGACAGCAGAGCTGTACGTTTGAAGTGTTTCAGAAATCTCTGTCAGAACATGCTACGTCATGTCTAGGTGCAAACTAGTGAGCTAACTTCCTGCTAACTTTATTTTATTTTAACTTATTCTGTGTATCATTTCTGGCATGTCAAGTGTACAGCACTTGGTGTTCAGCTGGGAGTTGTTCTGAAAGTGCTATGTAAATAAATTGTTTGCTTGCTAACTTCTAACTCCGTTAAATGTAATAACTTCTGTGTTCATTGATGCCCGGATGTTAAACTTAATTGTTACACCTGGTAAAGCAGCAACACTGATGATTAAAGATGAATTTAAACAGTTTTTAACTCTCAGTGATGCCACAGCGTTCGTTTGACTTTGGGAGCTGAAGCAGAGTTTGGACACAGAAACGGCTGATGAAGTCAGACTTAAAGACCGGATAAAGCAGCCACACTGCTCCCCCTGGTGGATACACAAGGTACCCAAACTCTTAGGGTGGGGTTGTTGACGGTATCTCCCCCCTGATCTGTCCTGACACCCCCCTGCCACACACCTACCTTGATGCCAGCATTCCAGAGCTCAGAGATGAGTTGCAGTCTCTCCTCCAGCAGGTTCTTCTGAGCAGATGCCACCATGATCTGAACTTCTGTGGTGCGCACCTTCTCCGGTGAGGCCTGAACAATAAAACAATGTCACTGTTGAACTTGTGCATCATTCACAGAACAGTAAAGCTGCTCCAGCTTCAATTTTATTTCACAGATATCAGGCGAGACATTACCTCAGCCTTCTGCTCCATGATGGAGAAGATCCTTTCGATACCTATGCTGACACCCACACAGGGGACTCTCCTCCCCTTGGGGTCGAACATGCCCACCAGGCCATCGTATCGGCCCCCTCCCGCCACGCTGCCCACGCTCACACTCTCTTCTGCATTGGCGCCGTTTTGAGCTTCATTAGCGGCTGAGACTGCGCTTGCCTGAGTCAGCACGGCTTCATAGATCACTCCAGTGTAATAGTCCAGACCCCGGGCCAGACTAAGGTCAAACACCACCTAGAGAAGACAGAAATTCAAAGTCCATATCCAGGCAGGGAAGAATGAAGAACAGAAAAACAAACAAAAACAACAGAGAGACGAAACAAAAGCCCCTTTTCCATTTACCTGCTCGGATTCACTTGCCAAGGTTCACTCAACTCGGATCGACTGGTTTTCACTTACAATCGAGTACCACCTAAAGTGGTTGATTGTTGCTATAGCAACACGGCCGAGCGTCCCGTGACATAATTAGTATGCTAATGGTACCAGGTACCATGACCTAATGGAAAACCCTGAAAACCAGTAAGGGTGTGCTAGTTTTTCACAGGGTTGCATGACCAGTATAAAACCTTTTTTGTCCACATGGAAACCAGATCATTGCTATAGAGCACTCATACTTAGGGATGGGTACCGGTGTCCGGTGCCATGATGGCACCGGTTCTGACATAAACGGT